CTTTAGATTTTTAACATGATCCTGCGTTCTTAATTCCGGGGTGGGGTCAGTGGCCAGCCCAGCCTTGAAGTCCTAGCGCATGTGATTTTACCGTGCTTACGGAAGAGCGGAGCAACCTAAGGTATAGCTTTACGTGCTTGAAATTATCCTCAGAAACAGGCCAGACTCTCTAAAGAGCTGAAGCGTAAACAACTGAAGGAAGAGTCCACGAATAGGCTATACCACATAACTAGTAAATCACGGGAAATATGTACTGTTCTCCACCGGTTACCCGGCCACTTAGCATTTGTACGACCAAAGACAATGCAAGGCAAGAGCTTATTCCAAACAAGCTTTATATATAGGTTTTATAGCATATTGAGTGTTATATATTGAGCGATAAAATTTTTAGTAATTTTATTGGGCAAACCATGACCAAAGTTTTGACGTGTTGTCTTTCACTGCCTACCCGGCCAGGCATTCCGAGACATTGAGCCCTCCTCGCACCCTCGGATATCGATCCAAAGTTTAGAATGATGATAAAAACATTGATAATCGTCGAGAAGGACTTTGTTCAAGGGTAGGGGCCTGGAGTCCATAGTGAACGCTTCATCCTTACCCATGCCACCTCATGCGGCAGAATCTAGAATAGCCATTCTTGGAGATCTCATTTTCACTCGATATCACCTCTCCTTGTAAGAATGAACCTTAATGGCGTGCCATTATACCTTAGGCGAAAGTACCTGACTCGAAAATGGTGCACGCGCGCCATGGGTCCAATGGAGACCCACCATGATGGTTTATGAATTCCTTTTACAAGGTTTAATCTTTCATAAACAAGTCAAAGTGATGTTATATGCACAAAATTTTGAACCCGTCGCCCAGGAACACTAATTTTCCCCCTAAGTTTAAGGTTCTGTGTTGAGACGGAGTGACTGAAGGGCGATAATAGTAGTGTACTACCCGAATCCTTTGCTCAAAAAAGAATATTAATTATTCTTGACTCGAAAAAAAAATTACAAGGCCCTACGATGTCTTGCTGGCTTTAGATTTTTAACATGATCCTGCGTTCTTAATTCCGGGGTGGGGTCAGTGGCCAGCCCAGCCTTGAAGTCCTAGC